GGGAGGTCCTGACACTCATGAAATCCCACTTTCTTTTTTTTTTCTTAATTTCTCTATGAATGTTTTTCTAATTTGTCATCGAAATTGAAAATTGAGGAACATCCGAACGTTCCTCAGAGCCTCCATATTATGGTGAAATTTCAAACGATTCGGAACATTTAGTTTAGGGTGGGAAAATGCTTTTTATACCATTGACTTCTCAGATGCCACTTTCGTATCGCCTTAAGGGGCAGAAGGGCCCGGCGCATATGTGTACCCCTCATACGTAGGAATTAGCATAATTTCCCAGGGAATACGACGTGACCGAGACGTCGTCGGGACGCTCTTTAAATTCTGCGACGTATCGAGCCGTCTGCTCGAGTCGGGAACTTGTTTTCCCCGTGCTCGGGGAAAGAGACGAGGACTTCTCTCACGGGTGTCATCCCTTGCGATCGCCGGATGCATGTCAATGCATCGGACTCCGCCATTTTTCCCTCCCTCGGCGGGAATAGCGGTATCGAATAATGCTAATGACTCCCGGAAACCTCTTCATCCCCTCTTTTTGAACCCAGACGTCTCTTAGAAATATCCGGGAATGCGTATCTTTATCAAATCCATCACTATTCTGTTTATCTCGAAACTTGATAAGAAAAAAATATAAAGTTCATATACCCATATGGAAAATTGAAATTGCGACGTGGTAATTAATAATCATAATTATTTGTATTATCTCCCCGTAATTATTTTTCGAACGTATATTTGCGGCTCCGGGAGAACTTTTAAACACCAGCCGAATTTGACGGCACTAAATTGAAAATCGTCTCTTTTCCGAAATGTAAATCGGGAATTTATTAAATCGACGCAGCGCATGTTGGCAGGTTTTAATCTCCCCAATTAATATTAATATTAATCGAGGTTCATCCCCCGTTCCGGATCACCGGAGTATATTAATCTCGGCGCAGTTTACCATTATTCGGTACGTGCGGACGATTCGCTAAGTTTCGCGAAGGAAATGGAAGAAAAACGAGGGGGTGAGACTCGTGATATTAGTTTCGAAGCTGCCGGGGGCTCGCGTAAACCGTAAAACTTGCATAACTTTTATGACCCCGTAACTTTTAGGCCGATCGTATGAGCGAGTACGCGTGGCCCTGTTTGCTCGCGGGAATAACTTTTTAATTACTCCAAGACACGGATTTTCTAGTCGATACCTCCTACGAAGCGCCGTTCACTCTCTAGTCCCCTTCGAAGTCGAATATAGTGACAAAAATTAAAAAGAAAAGCTTAACGTACGAAAAGCCACATTTAATTCACTCTCCGTTCCACCAAAAAACCTTCTACTTAAACGGACCACCTAAAGGAAGAAAAAGTAGCTCGCTCAACAATCTGTACTCTTAAGGTGATACGAAAGGTTCATGCTATATATCGAGACGTCAAAATATTAATAAAACTTTTCTCCAAAGTGGGTGCACCGAATCATTTGAAACTTTGATCGCAGTGGAACTATTTTAACGTCATAGCGAGGGAATTACAATTTTAAATCATATCAATTTAAAAATGAAAATCAGTTCCCGAAGTTTAAAAAAATCCCCTGAAAGTGTTAGAACACTTTGATATTTTTTCTGACCCCTTGTGAATTCGTCGATTGTCGATCTGAATCTGGCGCAAAGTAGTTAGTTGCACTTCCTCGGTGCCTGAAAATTCAAATCAACCCTTTCGGAATTTCTCGACACCCCCTGAGGGGAGCTCGCCTAACGAGGAAATTACGGAACAGTCGAGTCCTGGCAGACCTCGATCAGGAGGTTCGTGGGAGCTTGCAAGCTCCCACGCGGGGAAAAAAAGCAATCGGTGGCTCCCCAAAGCAGGGCCGAAACCGCCCTTTATGGCCAGGACAGAGCATCCCTTGTACAGGCCTCGCTCACCAGGGGTCGTCCTTTGAAGCCCGGAACCAGTGATTCATTGATAACACCTCACAGGATTAAGGGCGGAATCAAACACACGCTCACCTGGTCTGCCGAGAGTCCATCCTTCGACGCGGAGTCCATTAGATCGATAAACCGCGATCGACCCTCCGGGATAGCCAAATCGCTCCTACCACTTGCATTAACAAAATTATTATCACAACCAATACATTAGTGCGCTCCAAGAAACATATCGTTTCTACAGGTACGCTTTAAAGTAACACCACAGAGAAGACACGAAGGATTTAGTCAAGTACGCAAAGTGAGGTACCTACACACGTGACAATAAATCATTGGATTAAGTCTCTGCAAATTGATTGGATTTTATTGGCTGTAAAAGTAAAATCGTCCTCGACGAGGACATTTCCCAGTGCAGGAAACAATTATTTCCTTGCGAAGAAAAATTGACGTCGTCGGTCTGAAGGAGCGTTGTACCCTCAAACATTATTTCGGGCGTACTCGATCTTACAATTTTGTTGTCGTTTGTTGTTAAACACGTTAATGGGTATTTCTTTGAGTGAAGGGATTCTTTTTCTTTTTCTCACCGTGGAGTCTTTTATCAGGCGGAAATCGACTCGAGATGGAGCCGGGTCACGCGATGTGCGTACCCTGCGGAAGTCCTCGCCGATCGCGATCGGTCGTTCGATGAGAGTCCGAATGGAGTGGCCAATAATAGGCAGAGGAAAGTGGAGCAAAGTACAGATCGTTATTCGGGAGCCGATCGACTGGTCTCCAGAAGAAGCTCTCAAAGCAACGGGAACGAAACACGTGGGCGGCATCGGAAATAAACGCGGCAGTCCGCGGTTGCTTTACAAGCTACGGACTGATCGTTCCTTCGATAATATCGATACCCTAATAACGGACACGCGAGAACCGGAGAAACGCCTTTACAGCCGATCGAATATACCGTATTTCCAGACCGCGACTGTGGTATCGTGCGACGCGGGAGAAACGTGCAGGAAATAACGAGATACCTTCCGCGAATGGCGGTTCGGTTAAAAGCACCCTTCCGTCTCGTGTAATGCCCTCGGCATTTCTCTTTTAACGTTATCACTGATCTACGTATAAAGGTATATACATAAAAAAATGAAAAGCCGACGGGGGACAGGTACATATAATTATACGCAATTTTCTCCCTCTTCCTTTCAGAGTCAACCTGAGAACTGAACACTTTGCTCCTTCCATTTTCCATCCCTATTAGTTCGATCTCGATAAGACGGGTCGACGTCGAACAATCGTAGCGTTTATCGACATTTGTCTGCAGCATTTTGTGAAAGGGGGTGTTCTAGGCTTTTATCGAGGAAAAGGACTTATTCTCTAACAAGGATCTCGAGGTATATAAACACGGGCCGTTTCATCGAAAAGTTCTGCTTAGCTTCGATTAATTTGCATTCGTCGAGTTAAGCAGGTACAGGAGGCTTGTAAATACTTCTGAAGGGTGTTTTATCAATCGCGTTATCGGCTCTTTATCGTAGACGAGGATTTTTCTCTCGAACAAGGAGCAAACTGGTCGCAGGATCGGTCGAAAGTGGAGTCGCGAAATCGCGTGACGGAGTGCCTCGGCGGAGCATGTAGCTGGTATTATTACAGGCTTTATAAACTCAGTCACGCCCAGCATTTGCATTGATGACGCGAATATAATATATCACCGGAGGCCGCGAACCGAAAGCCGAGCTTTTCTCCGGGGTACAACAGCTACTGACCACCTGTTGCCTTTCCATTTATATTTTAGACGTCGCCGACGTCGTCTCCTTGCATTCCCGCGGCGTCGCAGCCCACGACGACGGGGACCGATTCGGAACCTGTACCGAGAAAATTCGTTCGACTGGTCCTTTGAACGAGAATCGTCCCCGAGAAAATGGAGAACCATCCGATCGCGGTCAAACGATATAAACAGATTCCTGCTGGAGCTTTTCCAGGCCGGCGAGTCTTCCAATCGAGGCGACCTCGATGTTTGCCCTGAAGAGTAAATTCGATCCAGTCAAGGGTAAATCAAGCTCGACTCGATTCTTGGAGACCATTAAACTCCATTGGAAGCTCCACGCAGGAAGCTCAAATCCTGTGATTTATAAAATCTGCATTTTCCCCAATTTTTCGTCCTTGTCGACATATGCAGAGAAGGAAGGTTCATCGAACAAAATCCTGCACTGCTTTGGGTGGCTTCTTCTAAGTGAACTAATTACTTATCAGCCGTGTATTTGGTGGCCACGTGATAACTCGATATTCTTCACCTCGACATAATAGGGTTGATTGAATATAGGAAACGAACAGAAATAATGACCCTGGTCCAACTAATTATTTTTCTGCTCGACGATGAATACCTGTTCGAGGATTATACCGTCCAATAAATGTGATTATCAATGACGATACCGATGAGGTCTGATTGCAAACGGTGGCACTTAGTCTCAGGAGTCATCGGAGCGACTGCACCGTTTCGAGCGATTTCGAAGCGATGCCCAGTCCTGGGTCCAGTTCCCGGTTCCCAGTTTCCGGTTCCCGATTCCCGATTCAGGGGAGGAAGGATCCGGATTTCGATCGGGATCCAGAGACCCGGTCTCCGGAGCACCGCAGGGAATTCGCATTAGGGACGCATCTCGGTTGAACGGCGATCGAGGTCGGGCGGAGTAATGAAGCGAACGCCTCGTGAACGCCTCGTCGGGAATTCTCCTTATAACTGGCGGCCACATCGCCTCGTGTCCCGCGGAAATTTATAATAGGCCCTCGTCAGGAGGCGGTTCAGAGAGCGCCGAGAGGCGGCACTCCGCGGATACCGGGCTACAACCCATGCCTTGTTCCATTATAATCCCCGGCCCGTGTGTAATCCCGCCATATTAAAGCATATAACCTCTCGTCGTATGATCTAATACGCTGCCTATGCGTCCGACCGAAACTTGGGATTATATCACCTCGTTTCGACCAGGTGGTCTATAACCCATCCAGCCACGCACGATTATTAATATTTTAAAAACAATATCTGGGTTATACATCGGGGAAGAAATGACATCGCCTCCGCTGATAATTTTCGACCTCTTCTCTGATGTCGATCTCTTCTCCTGTTTCCAGGGTGCCTCATCCAGCTTAGTGGTAAAGTTTGCAGACACTGAGAAAGAGAGACAGCTAAGACGCATGCAGCAAATGGCTGGGAATATGAGTCTCCTTAACCCCTTCGTCTTCAACCAGTTCGGCGCGTACGGCGCGTACGCTCAGGTACGTGAAAAATCCTACTCCTCCTTTTCCCATACCTTCATCTATCAATAACCATCGCAAATACCGCCAAGTCTTGAGCCCTCGCTAAAACGCACTTGGCGCGGACCTCTGCCGAATCTCTTAAGACATGCGACATGCCCCGTAATTCGGTTCGTACCCTTCATGTCGAATATCACTTTTTTACCCGTGACATCGGTAACGGTAATCAACCCCGTGCTTGATAACGTCTTCCAGGACCTTTCTTGGTAATTCGATATGCTTCTCTTTGATAGGAGAGGCGCGATCCTCTCGGCGTCTTGCAACCCTTTCCCCCGCGTAAAATCTCAGAATTATCTCGAAAAATCTTTCTCTTTTTTTTTTTCCTTTTTTTTCTCTCGCGAATTCCCGATAAAAATCCCGGATAAAACCCTCTCGGGAAGTGCATTCGACGACACGGAGGCTGGTGGGCGAAATTGGCGCGCGAGGTCCGGATGCACCCCCTATCGAGGAATCGATTCCCGATCGATCGCGGGGCATGCTCGGCCAGGACCGGGCGATATCCCGGGGCAACGGCGAGTGTCCTTTGTGATGCAAATATCGTGGTTTTTGCTGCAGCAAGCGGCGCTTATGGCCGCCGCGACTGCCCAGGGAACGTACATCAATCCGATGGCGGCACTGGCTGCTGGACAACTGCCCCATGCACTCAATGGCATGCCAAACCCCGTCGTCCCGCCGACTTCCGGTGAGTTATTTCCCGTGTTCCTCGAGGGTGGACCCCGCAAGCGCGGAGAACTCGCACGCGGAATTCCGCGGGCCCCGAGGCACGCGGAATTCCGGCCGCCCAACGATCCCGACGAGCGATCATTGCCGGGAAAATCGCCGGCTGGAATGCCTCCCCGAAACGCAGCAAACTCGTCGTCCACGTGGCCGATAACGTCGAACGAATCCCCGAAAATTGAGGATCCGCATTCTCGCGGATTCCGCCGCTCCTTCGGATTTATGCGCGGAACGCGCCGCACTCGGTCGGACGGGGGGGCGCGCCGAAAATCGGCGTTTTCCCCGGAATTTCGACGTTCCAATTGCGGAGGGCCTGGGTCGTCCTCGATCGATCCATACCGTAGCGTTAATTTAGAATTAGATTTAGATTAGTTAACAAATCAGAGCGTATCTACGCAAAAAACCGCCATCATAACCTCTCCGCCAAGGGTGGAGGACCGCCATAGAACCCTCGTGGTCAAGGCGCTCGTCTCCCTTTTTCGATGCTTTAGAGGTCTCTTCTTTAAGGGTGCCCTTCTGTCGCTCTCGACTCACATGGAAACCATCGAGTCGCAGACTTTTCCAAACCTCCCGAGAAGGACGATTTATTTCTTTAGCGCTTAAGCCTCGCTTTCTTAATTTCGACGCGTACTTGATAAGAGGCGATCTGTCCCCATATCCCTTTGGTCGATTAAATTTCTTAGCGCCTTTGATATTCTCGTAAGCCTTGAAAAGACGAAGACTAGGAATCGGGGAATTTTGTTAGAAGGGTTAGTTGAAAGGTTTACAATTTCCTCCGCGTTTAAGATCGGGGAAAGTCCAATCCCGGGAAGACTCGGTTTCGAGAAAAGTATCTCTCATCTTCTGGTCCATCGTGGAGGGTCCTGCCGGAATCGGGAATCGAATTAGGGGAGAAATTCATAGGCGAGTTCCGGGGCGAGTTATCGTCGTCGAGCGTTATCGAATGCTCGAGGTACGAGAGGGAATAGAGGGTCGAAGATAGGTCGAGAGAGGAGAGACAAGTAAAATAAAGGCGGAAATCGGCTCTCGTCGCCCGGCCGCATCGGGCTCCTCTCGGGCGGAAGGTAATACCGTTTGATAGGGAAATAATATTTTATTTCCCTCTTAGATTACTACCGCAGTTTTATTCCCCGGGAAACGATGCTTCCTCGGGCGTCTCTCTCGACCCCCTGGACCTCCCCATGGGGACCGAGTAAGAGGGCCCAACGTGTACTTCCATACATTGTGTGTATCGGCGCAAAGTCGCGGGAGTTTAACTTTACGACGCATCGCCATCGCATTTCGCTAAATACGACCGGCAATACTTTCCGGGCCGTTCGGGGGTTGAAGACCCCCAGGCCCGACCCCTCGCCCCGAAGATGCTCCCAACATCCTCGTAATTCCGCCCCCGCCGATCGTTCGCTTCCGCTCGTCATCCCCCGCACTGAAATCCCCTCCTCTTCCTCCGGCTACACCCGACGGAAATGGTATCTCTGAATTTACCTGTATCGCGACCGTAAGGACGTTTACTTAAATCGAACTGCAGCGCACTCGATCGCTCCCGGCGATTCCACGGAAGATTCTTTCGGACGAGAGCCCTCAAAGAACGGCCGAGTCGTACTTCGGTTTTCTCCTCCTACACTGTTAAAAAAATTCATACAATTCATACACTTTTAGTACATAAGGTTGCAGTAAAATTATAGATTTGACGTCCTAATAGCGAATTAGTACACGTTTATTATGAAATTCTCGGTCAATTTACGATTTTATAACACCCTATTGCAATCTTGGGAAATTATTGCAATTATTGCAATCGGGGGAAAATTATAAATTTTCATATTCGAAAGTCATTTAGTACGCACTGTTTGCACAGTTTTTAGATCAGTTCTTAATCTTACGATCGTTTACATGAGTTTATTTTTAAAGAAATTTAATCGGAAGATTACAAGTGTCGGTGGCACTGGCGGAGAAGCATCGTGCGACATCCTTGAGTCCGAGAAATATTTAAATAATATTTAATAGAAATTCTTACAATCAATAGAAAACTCCGGTATAATACGCTTATAAATTTCCAACACTCTAGTGCCCAGAATTTCGTTGAAGCCATAATTTGATGCAACTTTGTAGCACCCAGCGGTAGTAGACACACGAACAAGTTTGTAAGTTTTGCCATTGTATCGGGAACACTTCAAGCCGGCCTATAAAATTAAAGAGCGTGTACGTAAAGTACATCCAGGAGTGGAGAAATTTATTGAACCGTGTTTGAATGAAACTTGCGAATTTCCAATATTTCTTTTTAATACGATGATGAACATAGTCGAGTTTCCCATTAAAATCCATTAGTGGATAATCCAGAGGGGGTAAATTTATTAAACCGTGTCTTTTTAAAACATTCGATATTAAAATATGTTTTTTAACAGTGTACGATGATGTACATAGTCGAGTTTCCATTCGGTGTGCCGAGATTCCCATAAAAATCCATCAACCCGACCGTGGAGAGTTCCTCTCCCTGAGCAGAAATCCAGGCGTCGTGAGCGGCGTCCAGGGCGTCCTGGCGAGCGAGGTCCAAAGGACGTCGCACCATCAGCTTAAGATCAGCGTCAGTGTGCTAAAGAGCAGTGCTTAACGCGTGTGTACTGATCAGGTTTGGTCGTAGGTACCGGTACAGGGCAGCCGGTGAACGGAGCGATCCCGTCGTTACCCTCGCCGACGATGCCCAACTTCAACATGGCGGCGCAGACGCCGAACGGACAGCCAGCCGGCTCCGACCCCGGCGTCTACACGAACGGCATCCCCCAGACCTACGCGGGACGTGAGTATCAACTCAGGCGCAGAGTTCCGCCCCTGCGCAGCTCCGGCCAATCGACGCCTCTTCGTTATGCTCCGAATCCACCGAGGATTAACCCGCCCAAGGACGGGAAAGAAACGGCCAGCTGATTATTTCTCTCGAATAAAAAATGAGTAAAACGGACGGGAAGGGCAGAGACCGAGGTAATTAGTTAAAATCTTGCACTTTGAGTACCCCGGCTGGTCAAAATGTGTCCACGGAAGTCAATATCAACGGGAAGAGTCGAGGCAACTCCTCGAGCCGGCGGCGGCCATCTTGGTACCGACGCGTCTGCACGAAAAGACGCGGCAGAGTGTCCGAGGCTATTTTTAAGAGTTCCCCAGGGGTTTTGAAGGTTTATACGGGGGCATTTCTTGAGATTCCGTGTAAAGTTATTAATTCGTGCAATTTGAGGATCTTGGGTAGGTAATTTGTCGTTATTAAAGGAGTATTTAAGGGCGGAGGGTCGAGGTAGGGGTTTAAACAGGCGACGGCCATATTGGAATCGCCGCGTCTGCACGAAAGGACGAACTGGCGACTTTACGACTACCTTGGATAGTTTTCGACCGCGTTTAGGGAGTAAATACATGGAACGGCCTGAAGTTTGGCAAGTAAATGACTCGAGGATGTATATTTAACTCGCGGGCACTATCGCGTCCACTTTTTGGGGCAATGGTCCTTAATAATCGGCGGTTCAAAGGAGCTTGCGACCCCCCGTACCTCTGGCCCCTCCTTTCTGTCAACCTCTTACATTCCGAAGATCCAGCAATTTCGCCTGGCTCTCCCGAGCTTGAAAGCTCGGAGGACTGTCCTCGGGGACGAGGATTTCGCGTTTCCCGGAAAGGGGAGAGAGAGAGAGAGAGACCAGACGCGAGTAATCTGATAGATCGCGAAATAGATTGGACCGGGGCTGCGACGGGGGCCTTAGAATAGGCCCGTCCCTGATAAGAGCTGAGCTTACTGAAGTGTAGATGCCCTCCATTTGTCCATTCCAGCCCAGGGCCTGCCCAACGGGGAGGCGGCACTCCAGCACGCCGCCGCGTATCCTGGGATGCAAGCCTACACTGGAGTCGGTAAGTCTATGCCTAATCTGCAATCGCTATACTTGTTAATTCTACCATATGTCCGCTTCATCTTACTTGGGAAGCCCTGATCCGATAAACGGGGGATTTTAATTCCAGTACTTCATTGTCTCCACATTGTTGATTTTTATCGCGGTACGTATAAATGGCGACTTCCCGATCAGGCACGAACTTTGATTGTTACACGTGATAATTCAATTTTTAATTCAATTACGCTTAGGGCGACATTAGATGCGCCAATTACTCGGTCGAACGAAATTTTTCATTTGTCCAGTCGAATGGTTGAAAGTTGAATTTTTTCCTACCGGATCGGTCGAAGGGCTGAGAAGAGATTTTGAAAAAAGGAGTGGATCTTCTACTTGCTGAAGGAGATTTACGTCTTTTTTTATTAACGATGATCGTGGATCACTGGTTGGTCAAGGGTGCGTTTCCTCGTCCTCGTTTCTCTGAAATATCCGAACGGGAAACAGGAATTTAAAACGCGTAGGTGTAGAAAGGTCGCATGTTATCGTCTCGACCAGATACACTGCCGTGCCGACGATAATACAATTAAATTCATAACTGAAAATGCTAATGCATTCCAAAAGTGCAGCCAAACGTGGACAGGCGAGTTTTGGAAATATTTTCCCACCGAGTTCACACACATTACAGGTTGTTACGAATATTCTCGAGAACGATTCCTGCACGTGACGTTACCTCCCCCGAGTGGCAATTGATGTTGACAATCCCGAAGGCAAAAAGAAATCATTACCCCCCACGGCGGAATTATCGCGAGCCACAAATACGTAACAATAGCCCGCTAAACTCGTTGAACCTCGCGACATTTATTCAAATATTTAGACAAAATGTCCCACACAAATTATCCAGACAGTAGATGACGTGAAATTCTTCCACACTTCCAACAATCCTCCCTTTGCCGATCTCTCAGTAAGTGTCGATTAAGGACTATCACCCACGACATCCGAGACAAAAGCACCCAGATCATCGCCGCCCACCCACAAATCCCCCCTACACACAACAATTACCAGCAAAAATCCATTCTCCTCCCACTTATTCAAACTTCCACCCCCTCCTCCACAAGAAGAATCAACCACCCAGCTCGGAAATAGTTTCCCAAACCGTGGATAATCCCCAGTTCCACCGGAATCCCGATAACCAGCCCTTTGGTGATACCGCGGTGCAAATCAGGGGAACTACACAGGGTAAAAGAATCCCCGGCATATCAAAGGCGCGGTGGGATTGAAAAAATCCCCGGACCACGTCAAAGAAAGTATTCCTTGGGGACCACAAAGGTGGGGAGCGTCGGAGGCGATCGATCGGAAATCGCGTGGATCTCCGTCCCTCCGGTCGATCCGCCTCGAAGCTCCACCATGGTTCGCCCATTTCGGCACTTTGACTGGCGAACGGCTCTCAAAGGGCCCCCGGGGCTGCACTTCGCAAACTTCATCGGGAGTACTTCACTCCGGGGCCGAAGAGTCGATGGGACGGGGAAGTTTTCGGGGTGGGTCGCTCGTAGGGCCGATTACACGCTTTTACGGAACGCTTAACCTCTTTGCTGGGAGAAACTCGATTTCCCGTGCACTCGCGTGCCCGTGCGAATCGCATTCGTCGTGTTTTGCATGGAGTTTTGGTACCTTAGTCGCATGTGTGCTCGTACTGCCTCACCGAGCCCAGAGAGGGCGCCACAGTGCTTCCGCGATATGGCTGCAGTGTGTCACTCGATGGTCGGTGTTCTCACTCGACGTTTACTCGTAATCTATGCACTCGCTGGGGGAGTGATAAGAGACTCCTGGTTTTTTCCGAAGCGAGGTAAATGTGGAAACGTAGGAGCGCCGCGGAAAAAAGGGTTGAAGATGGGTATTACTCCAGCAAGAACCAGTAAACCAATAGAGTACTTTGCTAGTACTGGTGGAACATTACCCACTGGGATGATATTACAAATTACTAGGAGATAAACTCAATATGTTGGTACTATGTTACCAGGAATTATTTTTCCAATAAATAGGTTCAGGTTTTAATTCGGGAGCAACAATCAAGAATTTTTAATGATACATGAGGTCCCGGTTTTTTTTTTATATTGTACAGATTAATGGTCTAGATGATTTTAGGTCCGACGGCTTTAAGAATTGCTTGGCATGTTGAGATATGTCTGTAATTACGGGTATCTTCGAACAGAATTCTAATCGCCGTTTCTTTGAATTATTCCTAACGATACGTGTCAGTAATTAATTTGATGGATTATTGCTTTTAGACTTAGGAATGTTAAATAAATGCGGACGCTTGTAGATACGGAAGAGCTTTTCGGGCGTGATTCTTCTCGCGGATGGAAAGGATGCGACAACTCGTGGACGAAACATCGGACAATCGGATCGGAGCACTCGTCAATCGGAATACATTAAGCGGATGTTTACGCGGAAATAATTAATTCCGCGAAACGAAATCCATCAGCCGGGAGGGCCGCGCGCAAATCGATCGCAAACAGATATCAGCCACGGGTACTTTTAATCATTATCGGGGAATAATTAATAATGTTATAATTGCGCCTCCTCTCTGAGCCTCTATGATGGGTTAACCGGCTCCGAAAGTTAAATGGAAACGGCGAGTGCGCGGGTCGCATAATTATCGGTATCCTATTTTAATAGGACCCTCCTCCGCAAAACAACGCGGCCGTCCAACTTTGAAGCGGTGTCAAATAACGCGGACGCGGAAACGAGGAAGGAAAAGCCGCAGCCAGCTCGTGCCGGAAACTTCCGGAAAAAGCGGGTATCCTGATAACGTTGAGTTAGGAATATCCGTAACCGAGACCGACAAGTTGGACGAGCGAAACCTCGTCCTATAACTTTTGAGGGAAATGCAAATGCGAGTAAACACGTAAAGCCGTACATAAGTATTCCTTTAAAATTATCACCTCGGCCCGATTTGCCAATTCCTCCAACTTTACCAACAATCGATCCTTGAGTGATCATCCGAAGGAGGAATTAAATTCCGCGTCGATTTTCCGCCGGATTTCACAGATATTCCTAGACTGAAATGGCGCTATCGAGTCACGTTGCATTGCCAAGAGAAAATCCGTAAGAAAGTCGCGAAACATGAGAATTCCAACTTTTATGCAGTTAATTACCGTGCGATTGTACGTAGGGAACCACTGTACCGATTTAAATTGTCGAAATAAGCCGTGGAAAATTTCGAGAGGATTTTAATGGAAAGGGGGAAGGGTTACAAATGGCCATTTTGCGAGATACTTCGGGGTACTTAATTTGTGTCATGGTATTGTCTTGCTAATAGGCAGAGTCGAGCCAAATGAGTCCAGGGATCAGCTGAAAAGCAACATTTCGGTTTCGGTCTTCGATCCGTCCCCGTTGATTTTTTCTAAAGGGAGCCGAGTCAAAGCGGCTGACCGCGTCGGATTTCCCATTTCGATTTTCACAGTAGGGGGAAAATAGACAGAGGCAGGAAAGGATCGATGCCCCATTTTAACATGAAACCTCTAGAGGAAACCGAGGCCGGCTTTGAAGCGGTGTCGAATGACTCAAACATCACCAAACCAGCCGAGACTCCCAAAAGCTCGGAAGGGAGATTCTCGTTGGTTAACAAATAAATACAGAAAAACGCCCTCTGATAGGGTTATGTTAATAATACCCCTGAGGACCGAAAAAGGGTACCAAAGAAGCCCCCCTCAGATTCGAGCCCGCGTTCACCGAAATCTACAAAAGTCCTGGGAAAAACACCTTTCAAAATTAATCGTTCACAGCCCTCGTCAAATCCTAACTCGAGGTTAATAAAACCCCTGGAAAAATGACTAACAATCAAACGATCAACCCGAAACGCAATAATCAGGAATCACCAACTGGGATTGAACATCGCGAAACAGGAACGACATTCAAGTGGGAAAAAATTGCGGAAAAATCCCAGATACCATTTTGACTTTAGTTAAGAGTTCCACGTAGAGGTGGGAGGTTATGGTTAATGTAGGCCATGGTTAAAATCTGGATCTGCATTCAAGATATTCATTCTTTTATGGTTAGCACTGAAATGTTGGGCACTTTGGTCATTTCGATGGGCGTCTTTCTTAATATTTCCTTGCGCCTTAATTCGGGGGTTGACGAGACCTCATGGGGAACAGAGTGCAGAGTTAATAGGGCCCGGCAAAGCATGCTACGTGGCTAGATGTGAGAATTCATTATGTATTCGTTATCTGTTACTGTCGCAGCTTATCCCGCCGTCTACGGCCAGTTCCCTCAAGCCATTCCTCAGCCGATGACAGCAGTTGCTCCCACGCCGAGAGAAGGTAAGTACTCCTCTATTCGACTGTATAGTTGTTCACTGTATTCGGGTATGGTTGTACGTGATCGTGTCGTAATATCAGCCCTGTATCGTCTAGATACGCGTGCTCCTTCTTTGCCTCGTAGAAGGACCGTTTGGACACCTTCCACCTAGGCGAGAACGCTCGACGATCGATACAATAAATATAATAAATATGATAACGTGCTCGATAAGAGTCAAGTTTCTCACGGAAAAGATCCTATGGTGCCCTGGAAGTAACGATACTCCTGGCTGTTCTTTATTGGTTACTGAAGCAGAGATTTTTCCAATTCTCTGGCCACTCGTTCTAGTTATAGAGACGGAAATTTCTGCTAAATACCCATAATTTCTCGGTAATTATTGTACCGTTCGCTATGGAAACGCGGAATCTCTGCTCTGCGCGCGTATACGATCTTCAACAGGTGGAAACTACTTTCTTTTTTTTTTTTTTTCATGATTCAAAGAAGCGGAATGAACGCGCGGACGTGGAAAGATATATAAAGAGATCCTCGTGCGCTGTAAATCCGACGTCGCGACTTCCTGTATTTAATTTCAGGTCATGGACGAGTGTATGCAATTCAGTAAGTCCAATTCGATGGTCCCAAGTGCGAACGCGAGGTTCTCCAAAGGAAACCCCGAGGAAATTCTTCATTCTCCAATTTGAACGGACCTCGAGAATCTGGATTCGGGACTTTCGTTCCACTGCCTTCATCTCGTTGACTTTTTTCTCCCTCTTTATGGCTGCACCAGGAATACGTTATTATGCGCCTTTTTCTTCCTACGATGTAAAAACCAATGACGAATGTACCCAACGATCCCCAAATAATTCTGGGCAATTTTAACGTGTCAATCTCGTAAGTCACTCGCAATTGTATTGGACGAAGGCACCGCTTCAGGTGAAAATGTGATAAGAAAAGATTTGAAATTACAATTACAATGACACCTCGGTCTTTATCTGACGTAAGAAGGCCACGGGGGTGGGCGGAAACCGCCATGGGCGGCCAATCGAGGTCCAGAGAGGCTCGCCATGGCGGAACCGAAGGTGCAAGGCGCACCCAGCGACTAATTGCAATTAACAACTCACCATTATTAGAATATACGATGCCTTACAATGAGATAATGCAAATAAAACGAAAGTTTTAATTACTTTGCCGCTACGGCCCGGCGGCGACCCGTTGTTACATTGCAGGATAATGGAAAGTTTACCACGACAGTGTTTCCCTCTCTGTCTGCCTCTCGGCTCCGGCCTCTTTCCATCCTTCGTCTTTCTCTTCGTTAGGCCCAACTCTCATCGTTGATCTCTCTCTTCTAGCCTCCTCAGGCTTATATCTGCTCCTCCCTTATCTTTGCTCGCGGCCGATATACATTTTCATCGATTTTTCCCATTTGACGAAAGACGAGAAGTAACGATAACCTGGGAAATAATTAATCGATGGATAATAATTCGCCAGATTCTCGGGACGATTTATAAGGAAGATAGAAAGCGCGTCGGACGGGAGGAAGCGAGGCTGAAATTGAAATTGCAGATTTTGGGAATTGCCAGTGCCCGAAGGAGGGGAAACGCTTTCAGACCGGAAAACGGAATTGACAGTAAAATTCGGGGACTGGCAAGGACCGATTTAGGCAATTTCGGCTCGGCCGATACCGGAAGCGGCCAATAGGGGAAAATCGGATCCGCTCGCTTCTCCGGATTCGATTGAAACGATATTGGATTAAGTGGACTAGGGGATGAAAAAAATGGTCGGCGCGTCCCGGCATCCGAATATCCATCATGGCACATCTTGCATGGTGCTGTCTTGTTCTTTTCGTTATCGTTGCCGCTTCGAGCCGTTTACACAATTGTCCGGACTAATTATAGTCCCCTTGCTGTTCGGTGTTATATGATGTACTCTGAGTCTCGGTGTCTACGTTTATTCTCTGTGGCCTCGTATAGTTTTTCCCACCGTTTCCCTCTTTCCCATTTCTTATTGACAGGGATTTCCGTCGTCAGGATCCAGATCTCCAGGGTCCACGTTCCTCGTCGATAGACTCGATGTTTCCGTTGCATTTTGTGTCCTGGCTATGCTGTCAGTGTTGCAATGTCAATTGTTAACTCGGCTTAAGGTGATGTGATAGGCGCCGAAAATGTTAAACATTCCCGGTAAATACACACTCTTCCGATGTACCATCCGAAGCAGCGCGCCACGTTACCGGCGCTTACATTTATATCGACAGCCGCGTCGTACAATATTAATTAAAAATACCAAATGGCGATAATAAATTGTATAAAATTCCAGACAGATCGTAAATGATACTTCTTTTTAGGAAGAGATAGAGAAAAAAAAAAGAACCGAATCCGCGGAATCTGGCTGACGCCATTTGATAGAAATCCCCTATCACGTCACCTTAAAACTGCAATTCCGAGCAGTGGGTCTGGAAAGCTCCTCTCACGGGGTCTTCTCTTTTTGGAAATAAAAAATCAACGACGTTTAAGACCGCCGACTCTTCCTACCGTGACTCGTTAATTAATATTTCCACGTCCAGTCTTCCCGTCCGTCATGAGAGAAAATTCGTTCCAAAATCAACATCCGCGATGCCGGAACTCGCAACCGATGTTTCGCCACCGCGGGAAAGCTCGATTCGGAGCTTACCACGCTTCAGAAACTGCAAATGTTCATCGGGACGCCCGTGGAAACTCCGCCTCGTAACGACTCGTCGAAGGATGAAATAGGATGAAATTTAGGTATTCCATTAGCAGGACTGCTTGTACCGGTATATCATTTGGCCCGACCTCCCGGGTGTTCTCTCGGCTCGCCAATTAAATTAAAACTGCACACGAGGGAGAAGAAAGAGGCATTTCTTGCGGCCAGACATCAGGGCGAAATTAACGTTAATCTACTTTGAAATAAAGTTTGATTTTCCAACCCCAAGTTGCATTTTCTGTCGCGTCGGCTGTTCTCGATGTCAAAACCGAGTACCGATCAAGCTCCAGCGAAAATGCATATTCCTCAAGCAACAAAAGGGACAGGGTACAGGACACAAAAGAAACAGGGTTTCTAAAGTGGGATAATCGTACGAAAGTCGCCCTTCTTCACGTTATCAAAAAGCCGATTTAAAGGCCTATGGCTAGAGATTCTAGGTAGGATCAAAATTGTAAATCCTCTAATCATCACGTCTGTCGCTCGAACGGAAGCAAAAAGATTCCAAAGGACTCAATTGTATGGAAAATTTCTTTATATTACCCCAAAATTTATATAGAGGCGTATAATCAGAGGCTTTGAATAGGGTCGAATTTTTGACTTCTCTGATTAATCGTGTCCGTTGCTCGAAGTGATCGGCTTCAAAATGTCGGAGTTGGACTGGTCGCTGTCTCTGGGAAGGAGAAGTTAGGAAGGAAAATTCTCGAACTCGAATCCATCGGCATAAATCGAAGTCCAATCGCGAGAAAGAGGTCTAGAGCGGATATTAAGGTGATATGAAAGTGTAATATATGCATGCCAAAAAGTGAAAAATATTTCTGAAACTCTTCTCCAAACCGGATGCACCAAATTATCTAAAACTTCGACACGTGATTATGGAGCCTCTAAGGAAGAACGCGCTGCCCGTGAATTATAATTTTTCGAATAAAAAAATATATATATCCTTTTTTGGTCATTGTCCGAAATGAGTGGAAAATTTTGTTCGAAAAAAGAAATTTCACCGGCAGCGCGTTATTCCTAAGGGCCTCCATAATCACGTGTTAAGGTTTCAGATGACTCGATGCACCCAGTTTGGAGAAAAGATTTATAAATATTTTCATTTTTTGTTACGTACATATCATACTTTCATGTCACCTTAAAGACGCAAATGTGCGAGAAGAGTCGGCGACAAGTTGGCCTAGGTCAGGCCTAATTGGGGGAAGAGCGCTCGTAATCGAGCTCGACATTGACTTTCCGGAAGTTCCGCTCGGCCTGGCAGCCAATGTCGGTCAATTATGTCCCGTGGCGAGCGTTTGCAAAATCTAAAGCGAGTAATCGAGCTCGACATTGACTTTCCGGCAGTTCCGCCCCGGCTGGCAGCCAATGTCGGTCAATTATGTCCCATGGCGGGGGTTTGCAAAATCTAAGGCAATCCGGCCGGAAATGGCCCAGGCCGGGACGACCAGGGACTGCGCCATCCCAGTCTCTCTTAGTGGCCCCTCGAAAGTTGAATTGCAGCTATCCCATTACTTAAATGCACCAGTTAGCGAGGAGCAGACCCGGAGCACAAGTTTCCCGGCGATAATCGTCGCTAATCGGACCGGGAGTTATAAAGTTTAGCGAAATTACCCGAAACCCTTGTTCGCTCCGACCGGCTGATGCCCTCAAAAAGGGATCCTTTTCATTTTTCAAAAGCCTAACTCTCGCGATTAGATTCCTTTCCTGACAAGCCGTCGTTCTAATTTTTTGCGAGAATTCGTAATCCCCCAAAATCCAATTAGAAAGACACAATTCCACCTGCCTCCATTTTCTCGATGACCTGATAATACTTGGGAAAATGTTATCGCAATCTTTTATCATCTTACCCCCCCGAGAGATATGACTTTATCGCTCAGAAATTAAAATACATAATAAGGTCGTTTCAGTCAAATGGGAAATTTTGCCAAATCTGGATAGAACTGAAGAATTTTAATCATACAGTTTATTTGGGGATTCACGTTTCTGTTCCTTTTCCCTTAATCAATGTGCTCGAGGTGACATGGTGTTAAGGCTGTCGTTTAGCTTCAAAAGACATCTTTTGGGATTAAATGGAAAAAATTGAGGATATATCGACCCTTCGAGTGTCACTTGTTGAGAAGTGACATTTATGCAAATGCTGAGTTTTAATTTAATAATCGCATTTAAATTCACCCTGCCGATTAATTTATGCGTTTCCGACCAGTCGAAGCGGCACGAGGATCTCGATTTTCTCGAAAGTAATCAATCGGTCGCGATAAATCGATCCGAAACTAGCTGTAAGTCAATTCGCCGTAGGTAGGAATGAAGTAGAATTAGTTATCTCGCATCATACTCATGACCATTCTTCACCCACCGCCATTTCACCGCCCCTCCCGCCCTTGTCACCTCGTTGTATTGTGATCCCGGTGTTGTGTGTCTGTATTTTTGAAAGTATAAATACTCAACGTTAATTGAACCAGTGAGATCATTCCGGAGTTAATGACGAGCGGGACGTCAAGCGCGATCGGGTACCGCGGGAAATCAGCAAACGAATAAAATGACAATGCCCTATCTCGAGGTCCAACACGCAGAAAACAATCTAATTAAGTAAATACAATTTTGCATCGATTTAACCAACAGAGTCATGTCGTAGAGAGCCAAATATTTGATTAACATAAGAATATTCTTTGGTTAATCACTCCTTGGTTGACTAAACATTGCGAATGATCGCGCCAATTGTTACAGTAATTCGGTGCATTTTAGAAAAATATTCGCTTCATTGGCTGTAGTATTGTCAAAGATTAACTTAATTTAACTGAAGCATTAAGTATTAAATTCGATTCGGTCAGGTTGGTTTTTTTAAATGAAGAAAAATGTGAGTCGAGCAATGCAACAAATGAATTTCTTCTGTGTGTTCCTCGGAGGTCTTGAGATCTTCGAGGAAGGGCCACGAGTCTCAGGATGTTCTTCGAGCCTCCCGTTCATCGACGGTCTCGATATCACGCCGGATCATTCTCACCTCATTAGAATTAAGAGAGTCATTTTTCTCATGAGCGATCATTCTCGCGGTTTCCGGTCGCGAGTCAACGGCGCTCCGCTTGGTATTATATCGTCATCGCCTTCGAAGGAGATATCCAGATATATATCGTATCGAGCAAAGGATTTAATCGAAGTCATGAAACGAAAACTCCAAAATGGCGAATTACGTACACAGGAAAAAATCATTAGTCCCAATCAAAGTATATTCGGATCAAATAACCGGGATTACCCATTCGCAACAATAAATGATACGAATCATCGCCGGTGCTCCATAAACAGAAAAGAAAGCAATATTGCACTCAGAAATTGGCACGGAAATGATTTCTACCCTTCGCGTTGTCAAGTTAAAAATGTTCACTCATCTCAAATTGCAGAGCCCGTTTCCAGAAATAAAAAAGAAAAGAAAAAAGAAAAGCAAGAGATATTACAACTCGACGTCGATCGAATTCAATTTTCCGTTGCTGAACTTCAGAATGGGTACAACAATTGATAAGATTTCCCTCGAATAATCGGTATAACATATCAGAATTATTTCAGCTGCTTTTTTAATAGGGCGTGTAATTTTCCTGAAAAAAAAAAATAGTTTTCCGGTACGTTGTTCGCCATGTTAGAGTCTGCACGTCTGCAGAGATTAATTTCTTTTCTCTGTACGAGACATCCGGATGTACCCGAGCCGTGTCGTCGGGATCGTGGGAATCACGCGGATCATGCAATGAACAGAACTCATCTTCACGACTAACATTCTAACTTGAGTATTATACTTCAAGTTTAGATGTTTAGATGTGCTCTGATTTATATGGTAGGATGCTCTATCTCAGGACCCGAGGGCTGCAACCTGTTCATCTACCACCTACCCCAGGAGTTCGGCGACGCCGAGCTTATGCAGATGTTCCTGCCATTTGGCAACGTCATCTCCTCGAAGGTCTTCATCGACCGAGCCACCAATCAGAGCAAGTGCTTCGGTAAGTAACCCTCCATTGTAGGCAGCGACGAGAGACCTTTCTTGACAGCGACCTCGAGCTAAGCAACGTGGAGGAAGTACTCGCCGACGAAGTGGGACCAACCCCGGGGACGAATGTCCATCCATCGAATCTCCTGGGGGAAAAAAAAAAAAGACAAATCAATCTTATCGATACTCTCTAAGAAATACAAATCCAACGTGTACCTCTTCAATGAGGAATTGAAGAAAAAGAAACCGCGCTGGGTTCCTCATCCTCGAAGAATCGGAATTTCGGGATATCCTGCGCAGTCACTCCTGGAAAGCTTCGTCATAAATAACCGTGAAAAATATTAATCGGGCACCCACCTCTTCGAGGGGAGTCATAATGACTTTATGTCGTGGCTTTCTTGACGATGAAAGATTTCCCCGAAGGATCTTCTCGCGATAAAGGATAAAGCTAGGCGAGGTCCTGGCCTCGCGCGATATTCCCGAAGTCCTTTCACGGGCGTTATGCCGTATGCAGATATCGATCCTTTCGGCTCTGATTATTCCTCGAATTTTTCCCCAGCCATGGGGTGACAGGAAGTATGACATTTTCGGTGCGATTTCCTATTGAACATTGACGTCCAATGCGAGGCTTCCACGATCTTCTACGGGGAGGTTCTCGCGACAACAAATATTCGGTTCACATATGTACTACCCCATGTACGCCGGCATGTATCGCCATGCGCGAAGGCGGCTTCAATGCCGTTCAACTTCAATGAAACCGTGGAGCCTTTTTGACCGAACTACGCGGTGGAAACCAAAATAAAAAGGGCCGCTAACGTCTCTTTGATTAATCGCATCCGAGCGAATCCATAGACCCAGACGTGGATAATTGGAAGTTTTCACGGCTGTCGTTCTGTTTCCGATCTGGTCGGGTATATTCGCCAATTTTTGGGCCCATTCGATCATCCCCGGCGAGACCTGTCCAATTTTGCGACTTTTTACAAATCTCCTAACCCCAAATCTCGATCGGCTCTCGACCAGATTGGATCTTTTCACCAATTTTCAGGCCCATTCGATCATCCCCGAAAAGGCCTGTCAAATTGGTGATTTTTTTTCTAATATCTCCTAACACAAAATCTCGATCGGCTTTCCACCAGATTGGATCTTTTCGCCGATTTTCAGACCCATTCGATCATCCGCGAAAAAGCCTGTCGAATTAGCGATTTTTGTCTAATATCTCCTAACACAAAATCTCGATCGGCTCTCGACCAGATTGGATCTTTTCGCCGATTTTCAGACCCATTCGATCATTTCCAATCAAGCCCAGGAAAATTGCAATTTTTCCATAATTTTCGAACCTCAAATTTTAATCATACACGGGGTTACAAAATTCACGATTCACGCGTCTCTATCTTCCTTAAAAATGGAGGCAAAAAGGCCTGCAGAATTTATTTCCACGGTACATGGGTTGCCGGTAATACTTTATTGAAAAGTAACTAACAGGAACTCCCTGTAGTTCGGCAAAACTCTACCACGTTCCTCTGCTTTTCTATTTGGCATGCTTATCGGAGTGACCCGGTTGCCTTCCCTGCTCTGGAAAAACGGCGCGAAAAATGGTACGTTTTCATATGTGGATTTAGGAAACGCGTTAGGAGGTCGTGGCGACAAATGCGTACATATTGGATCCCTTTCTCCAGGTGAGAATATTTTCCCGAGGGTTCCTTCCCGGTAAATTAAGGGGGATTTACGAAGGTAGTTCCATGCATAAGATTCCCGAGCCCGTGAGATTATTCCCGATGTTATCTCTTCCCCCAGAGGTCTCGGGCTCTTTCGTGGCTCGATTTAACGTCAAATATCCATCTGGGGCTTTACATGGCTGGAAAAGTGGAGATAGTGGGAGAGGATCTTTCCCGAGGAAGCAGGAATTCCTCGTATCTTCCAATATCGTACCCACGGACGCCCTTGGCATCGAATCACGATCCCTTTATGATACGAGCTGACATCCCGAATGCCTATCGCGCGTAAAGGAAATATCCTTTGTGAGATCGCGGGTAAACTTCGTTGATGAGCCGAAAGAGCAGTTCGATCCGAGGCATAAGAGCAGTTCTCAAATAAATTTGGGTAAATGCCTCGAAGCGCGGCCCTGCCCCAGAATCGCGAGAAATCTCGGGGAAATATTCAATCTCTCCCCGAAATATTCAAAGGGGAAATTTTCAACGGGGGTTTCCCTCGCGGGGGAGCAACGACTCGAAAATTGGATCAGCTGTAAGCTTCGCCGGTCGAAATTGGCTGACATCCTATTCCCTCGGTCGCTTCGTTATCGGGAAGCCGATTTCCCTTCCTAAGAACTTCGATAAAGCCTTTCATTAAAACTTCCGATTCCCGAGAACGGTTTCGAAACTTAAAATTCGAACCTTCGACCAGCTAACGGCCAATTAGAATTTCCCCCGTATGGTGGTAGCTCGAGTTAAAATCCCTGATACGACGGATAATTGCTCTTATCACGTCCTCGAGCTGGTGACAATTCCTCCTCGACCGATTCCCTTTTCAGATTTATCCCCTCCTCTATAATTACAATTCGAACGTTACGTACGCGCTGAATACTCCCTACCCCAATTAAAGACGCCTAATTTTAACGGCCCGCGTTACTTAAAGTAATTATTTCCCGATTAATAACTTCGGTTAATTAAGGATTATTCGGACGGTCCAGGGGCGAAAATGTCCTGGGCATATTTCCGCCTCGGCAGGTTCGTTATCACGAAACCGATTCCTCTCTCCCATTAAAACCTAATTTAAGCCGATTCCTGATTAAACGTTCATTAAAGCCTTTCATTACCGATGGCAAAGTCGAAATTAATATTCGAATTTAGAAGCCTCTAACGGGTAATTGGAATTCCGCCGGCAGGAGGGAGCTCGACTTGAAGTCCCGGGACTAATTCCGAAATAGCCTGTATATTAATTGGGGTCAGCAACTTTTTCGAGAAAATCCCCGGAACTTTTACCTTCCTTTCGGGATGGAGTTAATTAAAATCTGGTGCGACGTAAATAGGACTTAAGGGGGAGGGGGCGGGAAAAAAAAAGAAAAGAATCACGGTGCAGGACGGCGTCCCGCAGCAAAGTGTGCATCGCTCCACTTTTCAGCCTTTAATTCTTTTTTCCCCGCTAATTTTTTTCAATTTTCCTCCCCCTCGTCTCGAGATTCGACAATGGCTTGCCGAATAACTCGATTGACAATAAGGGCTGGGATGATCGATCGAGATTGGCTTACAATTAGTCGAGATCGGGCGAAGAACCTCCCAGGGACGTCTTCGAGTTAGCGGATTCATTACCGGGGTTACTTCGATAATGACATTCATTAAAACTTTTTATCCCCGATAGCGAATTTGGCCTCCCCATCCTGCCGGGCCATTTTCTGGGCCGCAAATTAAGGCGCAATTAGGACACTTCCCTCCTGGGGGTGAAACTCAGCCCCGTGCCGCTAGGCGGCGCCATTGTCGGGGCGCAGGTAAGTTGCCGCAGACTTGGGGCTAAATTTCCTCGTTAATTTCAGGTTTCGTGTCGTTCGACAATCCGGCGAGCGCGCAGGCAGCGATCCAGGCGATGAACGGCTTCCAAATAGGGATGAAACGGTTAAAGGTTCAGCTTAAAAGGCCCAAGGATGCAAACCGGCCGTACTAACCCACGTCCTAGCCTAGACAAACTGGTCGGGCCGCGCCCTACGTCATTACCTACAGAGTGAGTCATGAAACGATAACTTGGGAACGATTACTCCGACCTAACCATTCAGTACCTTAACCTCACACAGGCAGAAAAATAACTCAACCATGGTAAAAGGAAATACGCCCCCTTGGGCGTGAAACCTCTTTTTCCCTACATTAATCGTCAATAATTAACGGAACGAATAACGTCCTCTGCACTACTGATAGTACATACGGAAATTCTCTCGACCCTGACATAAGAAAATGAATATAAACTGTGATTAGCCGTTAAATAGAGGAAGGTAAATAAGCGTTTCACTTTTCGTTTCGCTCCCATTTCTTGGCACGAGGAGCTTGACGTAAAAAATGATTTCCATCAGTAAGGATGTACCTTCCTTGTCCCCGAAAGTCGAAGTATCGATCGAAGGGATTCGATTAATTGGGTGGACCATTAATCGGGATTTGTTGTGTGTCCAGGTGGTGTATGACAACGCGAGCCCATTGGACGCTCGACGATCAGGAGTGACGAGTTCGAATCACCGCTACAACGCTCTCCACCGTAACAATCTAGTCTACTAGCTAGTTAATTATTAGGAAGTCAATAGAGAGTCAGTAGTCAGGAAAAGGCTTCGCCATAACCGCAGAGAAGAGGTCGTCGACAGGACGAGGCCAGGACCTCCGCCGGCGGACTCTACGAGCCCTATCACTCAGTCGAAGAATGATCCTCGATCGTCAGATACTCGAACAGCACGTCGGAAAGGACAGAAAGAGACGAAAGAAGACTTCACACTCACGCACACACACATACACACCTTCAAACACACATACACCTTACCCACCCCGAGCGGCCGCATCGAGTTGGTCGCTGCGAGAGTGCGGGAGAAATTCAAAATGGCCGCGCCAGGACTCTCGACAGCCAATTCTAACGGGTTACAGTGTTAACATCCTTCCGACGCCAGTCGAAGTAGGTTTTATACGTCACGGTAGAAGAATCTAGAGAGCGCGAATGGTCCTCTCGAGTCTCTCGAGGCATCTTCGTACGGTCGACGCGCGGCGACCCGGAGGTCCTGCAAGAAGCACTCCTGATGGGCACTGCAAAAGGACTAAGAGTCCCCAGGAACGGCTCGTTATCCTGGAGGATTCATTTTGGACGATCAGCGACCGACCGACGACCGACGTCGTGGGTACTCGCGATATACGAAGGTACCAGTCCAAAGACGGTACCACCGTCGGACGCAGTCCGCATAAAAAAAGGATATTATTGATAACGAAACGGGAAACAAGGGGTACGGCACATTAAGTGAAGTAGCCTCTGTCCGCGAAGCCTAAGGGATCCGGATTACCTCGTAACAGAAGTCAAGAGACACATAGTACAGGAGAGGACAAAGTCGGTCCAGACGACGGTCCGCGACGTCGCTGGTCGGTCTGACTATCGACGGTACCATTTCTTTTCCTAACCTTACTTTCCGTCTGGAGCTGAAATCAGAAGTAGGGCCGGCAAGATGAATACTTAACCGTAGAGTGCGGTAGAGAGCGGAGGTACAGGGGCGAGAACTCCGAACTAGCGGAATAATCAACCAAAGTACCAACTACTAATATTACTACCGAGAGGAGTGTATATGTGTATATACATCTGTACACGTGTATACACATATATATACATATATATATATAAATATATAAAGAAGGTAATATTGTAACGATTGAGGAAAACAACCTAGCGACTTAGTAAATTATTATAGTTTTAGCTAAATTCGCGTAAATGAATTATTAGGTCGTGGCCCGGAGAGGGGGAAGGGACTGGAAGGGCGAGTTAGTGAGACGTAAATACTAGTCGCCGCTTTGTAACGCGACTACGATTATGATATACATATATATATATATATACATACATCTATATATATACATATATATATTTAAATATTGTACACATACACACACTATAATGTACCTACGTATCGGGCGAGGAGAAAAGTAACCCGCTTACGAGATCCGCTCACGTGGACGTTCGTCCCTCGTGCCCTTGTCTTGCGCGCATGCGCGCCCCGGGGCGATCCAAGATGGCGGAGGCACGCGAAGGAGGCCCCGAGGGCACCCTGGCCGATCGCGCCGACGAAGATAATATACATAACACACGTAACAATACTAATGAAGGATATAAAGTAATAACGATAATTTAATACATATGCATAACCTAAACGGTACCGCGGCGTACGTACACATATATTCTTGTCATTTTTAGAAAATTAACTTTATATATTAACGAGGGACGTGAATTCAGACTAATGCGGTAAGGAGCTCTCGGACGAGAGGGCTGGGGCGAGTTTTTTGGGGGACTGTCACTTGTCATGGCGTGGTGGTGCGACTGTCAGTGTGGATCTCGCTTGCGCGTGCGTCGAAGGTGCGTCATGTCATGCCGATGTCAACACACTGTCAAGAATGCCCCTTTGCAGCTTTTGTCTCGCCCCGATCTCATCGTCCGAAGGACTTACACACAATGGCGTCCGGTCTCGAGTCGACGTCCGTGGACCTGAGAATGAATGAAAGAGAGAGAGAAGGGACGAGCTGCCAAGGGGCCATTTTTGGGGTGCTTGCTTAGAGCTATTTCGCGACAGGCTAACTAGAATCTGCTGGGAGTGGCTGGGGGTTTCGGCAGTCTCACGTGGCGGGTCTTGCACATCGCAGTTCTGCACTCTAGATCCACTTAGTCGGGGAGTGGGTGGGTGGGTGGGTGGGAGGGTTCGGGGCTTCGCAGCCGCACAGTAAAAGCAGCGTAGAGAGATTCTAGAATTGTCCGTAATCCTACGTAGCACGTAGCCCGTAGTCGTAAACGTAGAGGATACGCAAAATACAGGGAGCGTGGTCTTTTCGCCAGGTCAGCTTCCTCGCGGGGCCGCAAACCCGAGTGGCGGACTCGGAGGCGCAAGATGGCGGACCAGGGTGGACGGTCGCCCCCGATCGGAGGGCCGAGTCGATTTCCCGGTTTCCTCCGGCTCCGGAAGCCTAGTCGACGATAAGGGGTGTCATTTCACCCCACACAAGTGCGGGCGAGAAATCGGTAGGGGGTCCGTTCGCCCGGAAATCGCGGCGGAAGCAAAATGTCCATACACCCGAAAAAGCTAGTCGGACGACGCACTGCATACGTACAGTATACACACAGAAACACATGCACGCCCGCACGCGCATACGGACGAAGTCACGTAAAAAGCGACACACGCGACTCGCACGCGTTCACGCGAATCGCGGCGCGTTGAGACACGCATACACACACACACACACGTACACACACCGTGAGAAATGCTTCTACGCGAGCACCAATTGATAATATCACTATAAAATAAGCTTTTTAAGGTACACACGTCTAATTATAACACTGATAATTAATAATGGTAATTGATTAATGATAATAATAATAATGATAATGATAACGAGGAGCATGGACAGGGGGAGCTGACGATGATAATGATGATAGCGATAATAACGAGAACCTATACTAATTATATAAATAGGAGATAATGACGATACAAAAACTATTTTACCCAAAGAAGTTTTTGCTACAACTGAGTAGTGTGCATCTTGCTATATGAAGGTGTGTATATGTATATATACACCCACGTAAGAGGATATTCTTAGCTCTAAGGGGATAATAACGATAATAGTAATCGGGGGAGGATCAGCTTTGAATTTATTTTTACACGACACGATGATAACGAACGATCAACTCGCCGTTGGCGGTGGGGTTCTGGATTCTGGCAGAGATAAGACAGATCACACAGGGAGCGTCCGTCGGTCGCGCGCGCGCGAGACTCGCAGCATCCGCTGCGAAGGGAGGGTGGGCCGGGAGAGAAAGGGGTGGGTCCAGGGAACAGGGTGGTTCCAGGGGTTCCCTGGATCTGGGGAAAATTCGACGGCCGAGCAGGGAGGTCCCGCAGGAGCCGAGTCACAGCACCGCGACCCGCGTCGACCGTGTCGGTGATTCTAGGAAACAGGGTATGTTTTGCAATTATTTGCGTAACTTGTAAAGGAGAAAAGTACGGGAGACGCCCTTCTCACTAAGGTCCGTGACTTTTGCCGTCTCTCTTACTCGACGTACACGCACACACATACACACCACACACCGCACGCGCGCGTTCACGTACTCGTGGGTAAGCGCGATGGCCGACTCTCCCAGGGAGGAAGCCTAGGAGAATCGAGACCATGGACGTAGGATTCAATGTAGACCTGGACCCTACAAATCGATCTGTGGCTGCCACACTGAGAGACAAAAAAGAGGGTGGCCCTCTTTCCCTCGGATTGCATTAACGACACTGCCCAATATGGCGACTGGCTGCCCAAAGTCGAGTACACATCCGAGCGCTAAGGATATATAAGGCAAAACTAGTCAAATGCCGCATTAATTAGCATTTGTTCGAAATCACCAGAGACTATGAATCTTGATAGAGGGAAGTCGGCAGCCTCGGGTGAAATACCGGAAAAATCGAAGACAATTGCCGAGCTTTGGTTGCACCCCATTGTTGCTCGTTTGACTTCGTTTTGCCTCATACACGAGCTCGTATTTAACTTTTTACATGACGTGGCAGCCAGAGAGAGAGGGAGAGAGGGAATTGGCCGTTTGCTCTGTTTTATTCTAGTCATAGAACATCTAGGGAGCGATCACGTGTGCAGGGTCCAGGTCCCGCGTCCATGGTCGAGGAGGGCGGCGACACGGCCTCTGGAGAACCCCCGAATTTCCGGGTTCTTCGGGATAAACCTTGAATCGGCGTAGATTGAAAGTATCAGAGAGACGGTCCGGGGTAAATTTTCTTGACGTCAATTGCCGGAAATAAAGGGTGAGTCCTCCAGGCCGTGTCGCCGCTCCAGCCTCCGGCTGCCATATCGACCCGCTCGAGCGTCCCACCTCCACGTTTTCCTCTCCGCTCTCGAAGGCCCCTTTTCTCTCAAATCCCGGTCCACTCGGGTGGTCCAGGCCGTTCCCTCTCCTCCCTCCTCGATTCCCCTTTTCCCCTTGCCCTGTAATAAATCGCCACATTGACGCGCTCGTCCACGACCCCGCGCCCCGATCCGCGCGCGCGCGCGCAACGCGCGTCGAGACAGCGTCGTTATTTCTAAAAGGTGTACATAGGAATTACGAGGTCCACTAATCGATACAATAATAGCTGCGTTTGCGCTAGGCCACCGGTTTAGGCTGAATTAGTCGCGATGCCGCTTGCCGACCCGGACGTTGGGCGCCTCTACGCCGATCGTTTAATGGCCGACCGGTCGCGACGGATTACAGGACTCGATTCTCGTCCGTTTCGACGCCCCCTCGGAAAATCCCGGCCCGAGTCGCCCTTTCGCGGTAACCAGAGAACCCGGCCTCGTTTCGATCTCTTCCGGGACCAATCATTGCCCCCCACCGGAATCCCGCGTCACCCCCACCCCACACAGCCCAGAGACCACATCAGCCCCTCTCTTTTTCTCTTTCCCCGTCTTTTACACCTTTTTACACGTTTCACGGTAGTACACACCCACGACACCCCGCGCCGTGGACCAACCACGTAGCGAGACGCGCGCGGCC